ACTAATTACAAGTTAACAAAATATAATTGAATGAAAACGAAATTAAAGCAAAACCCAATAAACCAATGAATCAAATAATACTAAATAAAACGTCGGGGTTGATTTCACCTGGATACGCAAACCCAATTTATAGAATTTATTATCCAAGTTTTGATTTCATTGACTAAAACCAATTCCCTATGGTGTTTGGTACTCCTTCTCAGTCATACTACCCACCTGTTCCATTAACCTTTCGAATCCATAATTTGAAGTTTCATAGTTCAAAGTCTCTTAAGCTTTGTGAAATTCTATCAAGTCTCATATCATGTTTGTCTCTCTAATTTTCACTCAACTATGGTATCTCCCAAGAAGACACATCACAATTACTTCTCAGTTTCATTGTGAACAACATCAATTGAATGGTGATCACATTCAAGGGCATTAAGCAAAAGATAACACTCAATCATGAAATTAAACTCAAAGTAAATCATTCAATAATTGAATCATTGTATCGAGTTTTTATCAAACCCTAGCTAACAACTTAGTTCATACAAAATAAAGTAAAACAACAAAATAAGTATATCAAAGTTTGTATTGGAAAAACAATCAAAGATAGGAGGATCTTCCCTAAATGTAGCCTTAATCTTCAGTACTTTCTCCTTCCAAGAGCTACTCTCCCAAGGACAACTTTGACCTTTTCAAATCATTTTTGTCCCTTTTATACTACTTTCCACTTTGGTCTAAAACCCTACAGCCAAAACACTGGTTTTAAGTTTTTTTTCAAATTTGACATAACTTCGCCGCGATGCAACTTGAATTGCTGAGTTCCAAGAGAGCTTCGTCGTGGCGAAGCTTTTCTTTGCCGCAACAAAGTTGATCTTATGTTGACTTTCCCTTTTTGCCCTTCTCTTGAACTCTTGGCTGATCTCTCCTTTGTCTTCTTAGTAGAATCTGACCAAGTCTTCATTCTAATGTTGCAATAAGCCTGAATCTTCTGAATCTTTAGAGTTCAAGCTATCCTAATTGTCAAGTTTAAAATCGTCGTTTTTGCTCCAAATCAATGTTTAAGCCTACAAAGTAAAAACAGCGTGAATTAAGTATACATTTCGTCCCAAAATAATGAAAAGTACTCAAATCCTATTAAAATCTAGTGCAAATTACAAATAAATTGGGATTATTGCTCCGCTCTCCGCTAACCCCTACATCCATCTCCTCTATCTCTCTGTTCCTTTCCTCATCTTTCTGCTCTGCCTCCTTTTTTCTTCTTCTCTTTCTCTCTTTCTCTTTCTCTATCCTCTTTCCTCTTCTCACAATAACAAAAAAAAAAAAAAAAAAGGAAGAAAAAGAACTATAATCTGCTTGTTAGCCTTCGCGATGGGACAAATCAGGCAATTGCGGTGGCCAACAAGCAAATCTATAAACTTCTTCTTTTATTATTTATTTTTTCTTATATCATTTTTTAATTTTATGTTATAATTTTTTTTTTTCAATGGAGTTTGATTGTCATTAATAAAGACCAATATGTGTGAGGTTGCAATGTATGGTGGATGATGGAAGTGGTGGTTGAGTTGGTTGGTGATGGCAGAGGCAGTGGTGACCAATAATGGGCCGTGGAACTTTGAGGGTATCGGGGAGAAAAAGGGTTATTTGGGAGGTGGGTAAGTGTCGAACTTGGAGTGTATTTAGGAGAAAAAGGTTGTTTGGTAGGTGGGTTAGATTATTGGGCATGGGAGGACGAGGGTAATAGGGTCATTTATCGTAGTTTTGTTAAAATTAACTAAAAATTACAAAAAATAGTAAGAGTGGGTAGGTCTGGGTACTCACCTTTTTTTGAAGGAATCGAAACCGACCGGTTCCTAAAAAATGAAACCAGAACCAAAACCGCCAATTCCAGTTCCTTAATAGTTGGAACTGGAACTTGTTTTATAGGTTTCAGGTACCCAAGTAAATTACAGAGTAATCCCTATTTGTTTCAAAAATGACAAATAAACACTTACAATATTACAAATACACCCCATCTCACAACGAATCTTGACCATTGGATTATAACTCATGTACCAATCACTTTGAAAAACCTTTTTTATAAGCCAAAACCCTAACCATTGCCTACAAACAAAACAAGCCAAGTTCTGTCATTCTTCTCTTATCTTCTTCTTTTCCACACAAAACCCTAGTCAAGGTAGCCCTAAAAGTCACGTCCATCTCTCTGTTCCCTTTGTCTTCAAACAAAACAAGCCAAGTTCTCTCATTTCTTCTCTTATCTTCTTCTTCTCCACACAAAACCCTAGCCAAGGTAGCCCTAAAAGTCACGTCTATCTCTCTGTTCCCTTTGTCTTCAAACAAAACAAGCCAAGTTCTCTCATTTCTTCTCTTATCTTCTTCTTCCCCACACAAAACCTAACCAAGAGAAAACGAAGATTTTTTGTTATGCTTCGTTGATTTTTTTATTAAAAAAAAAAAGCAGGAATTGATTTTTAGAATATGGGAAAAATCAATTTGAACGTCTGGCAAAATTGATTTTTTTATGCTTTCTTGATTTTTTATATGAATAATGAAGATTGTTTATGTCAAATTGATTTTTTGTATGAGCAATGAAGATTTGGGATTTTGTTAAATGACCGGATTTGTTGATATTAAACCGTTGGATTTGGATTTCATGTTTTTTTTTCATTTTTCTTGTGTTGTGTTCAATATCAATGAGAATAAAATGAATGGAAAATATATAGTTATTTTTATTAAGAAAATTGTTTTTTGTGTTACTGTGTTCAGTATGGGTGAGAAGAAAAAAAATGGAAAAGATAAAGTTGTTTTTATTAAGAAATAAAAGTTATTTGTGGTGAATTAATTTTAATAACAAGGGTAAGGAGATCAATTAAATTTAGTTGTGAATAAAAACAAACAAAACAAGAAAAAATTCCATAAGAAATAAGGTAAAATTTCAGTTGAATTGTAAAATTTTAAAATAGTCCTTATATTTTTATAACATTTCAATTTAGTCTGGGTTCCAAGGTCCGGTTCTAGTTCCTAAGGAGGTAGAACCGGAATCAGACATGCACAATGTCGATTCCTGATTTCTAGAACCGAAATCTACTCTGTGAGGGTCGATTTTGGGTAGGAAGCAAAACCGAAACTCGAGTATCGGCCGATTTCGATCCCANAAAAAGTCTTGACTGTGGCCTCATAGACTGGTATTGTGAGCCAGGAAAATGTTGACCACTAAAGTTTTTTAAGTGATCAGTACCAAAACTTGAGTCAGACAAAAGTAAAACATTACTTTAGGAGGAAGAGGATGACTCATTTGACCCTTGTTTAGTTGCTATTAGTGTTGAAGGTAGCTGGTCATGAAAATTGGTAAACAAATTATTTTGCTTTCTAACCTAATGTCATGCTTATGCAGCAAAAATTGAGCTTCTTATAGTGTCGTTTGACTACTATTAACAAGATTGGCAACCATAGCATCATACTCAAGTCCCAATCCATCCAATATGTAAAGTAACAATTCTTCATCACTCAAGTTCACACCACTTGATATCAATTCATCTCCCAAATCCTTCATCTTTAAAACATACTCACTAATACTCAATGCATCTTTCTTAGTACTCTATAACATATTCCTTAGATGAAGAGTTTTGGCTTTAGACACAGACTGGAAATGCAATTCTAACAAGTTCCAGTTTCATAAGAAGTATTACATTTAGCAACATGTCGAAACCTGGATTTTGAAATGGTAGATGGAAGCCAGCTAACCAGGAATTGATCATTTTTCTTCCAGTTGAAGTAGCTAGGATTTACCTTCTTGACTGACATTTATGTATTCTCATCTTTTTCAACCATGAACATTGGAGGACTGATTTTTTCTCCAGTAATGAAGCCTTCCAGTCCATGTGAAGTTAGGGCAGGTAAAATTTATGAACGCCGGAATGTATAATTCTTCTCTAGTAGCTTAACAGAAATTGACGATAGAGTAGGTGGAATGTTTGAGGTCGTGTAATTTATAAAAACAATATCCATACTCTTTAATTTGGAAGTCGATTAAGTAGAACTACTATCAANAGGGTTATCTTTTTTTGTTACAATTTTATCCCTTATTAATAAAAATTTTGGACAATAATACCCTTACTTTAAAACAAATTTACATTAATATCCTATTTCAATTTTACCCTTATTTAATTAAAATTTTGGACAATAATGCCCTTATATTTAAAATAATTTACAGACCACCACAGCCACCAAGCCGCCACCACCACAGCCACCCACCCACCACCGCCGACAGCGGGCCAACCACCACGGACCACCGCCGAAAAATCGCCGAAGTCCCTAAAAAAGAAGGAAATTCTTTGGGAGGCTTCGATATGGCCGTTTCCGGCCATATTGATGGCCGAAAACGGCCATATCGGGCCAGGTCTGGACCAGATCTGGCCGTTAACGGCCAGATCTGGTCCAGACCTGGCCGATAATGGCTAGGGATCTGGCTGTTAACGGCCAGATCCCTCGATCTGGCCCGATATGGCCGTTTTCGGCCATCAATATGGCCAAAAAAGGCCATAGCAGAGCCTCTTGGTCACGGTGCCGTACTCACGGGGACTTTCGGGGACATCCGGCTGTGGTTCGCGGTAGCGGCGGGCGGCGGCAGGAGCCAAGGGTGATTTCGTAATAAATTAAAGTTTTATATAAGCAGGGGTGTTTTAACTAAATCTGAAATATTGGGGGTTAAAAGAAATTAATCAAAAATTAATAATAAAAATAATATTATATTAATATTTGTAAAGGGGACAATTTAATAATTTAAATAACATACCCACCAATTTATTCCCCATAACCAACCATATTAATATAACATACCCACCAACTAACCAAACACATTTTCTTAAAGATTCCCAGTAATCTTTTAAAGTAATCTATCTTTCCAGTAATCTAACATTCCAAATAATCTAACATTCTTGAACCAAACGCCCCCTGAGTATATCCTCTTGCCGAACTTTAGGGGCTAAAAAACTCAGCTTAGGAGGTGTAAAAGGTCATTCCCCAAACAGGAAAAACCAAACAGAAGTACAGCAAGAGACGGAGACAAAGATATAGAAGAGACAGTAAGAACAGGAGTTAGATTTAGAGTAAGAGTTTGGATTGAAAAATGGCAAACCCTAGAAGGAATTCACTTTCATCAAACACCCAAAACTCTGATTCTAATTCTTTCAACGTTCATAACTTGTCTCGTCTTTCCTTTCTCATTACCTTTTTGAAGAGACCTCAGGCTTTCCCTCTTCTTCTCTCAATCTTTGTTTTCATCACATGGATTTCTCTTAGATTGCAACACTCTGACTTTTCCAAATCCCAGAAGAATTGGAGCTCCATAGAGGATGATGATGTGAAGGCTAATTTGGTCAGGTTTAATTCTCATTTCCCTTCTCCGATTTCCAAAGACAAGCGTGGCTGGCTGTTTAACCCCGTGTCTCTTGCCCTTGACTCTGGTGTTAAAGGTATGTTTATTTATATGCATTTGTACATTTTATTACTTATTGGAATTATTTTAAGCTTTTGTATTAACTTTTGCGTAAATGTTGAAGCTTTATGATTTAGTATTATAGAACCTCAAATTTGTAGCTTTATTCTTTTAGATTTATGTGTCAAATTGGTAACTTTATATGAATTTTGATACATTGTTCGTATGGTGTCTGAAGTTTTCCTATATCATAGTATGAACAAATTAACTACAATTTATGGGGTATTCTTTTTTTCCGGTTGCTTATAATGTTATGAGTAAATGGAAGTTCTTAGACTTGGTTTGAATTGGATCTGCACCGCAAATCCAATGCAGCCTTAGGGAATTTGGTCTATCCTTTTTTGGGATGTAATTGTATTCAAGCCAGTTTTGTGAAGTTTGGCTTTTCTGTAAATGTGCTGGTGACTCTTGCAATTTCTAAAATAAAATCTTATTTCACTTCTAGGTGGAGCAGTTAATTGTGTTTCTCAACATCTCGGTGAGATTCGTCCAGGTGCTATGAGGGGAAATCACAGACATTATTCTGTGAATGAGACATTCATTATTTGGGGAGCTAAAACAAAATTCAGGGTATGCTTTCTCTTCTGTAGGATATCAAACACATAGGAATTTGGTTCATTTTGAATTACTCTTTAACTAGTTCACTCTTTAATTATGTTAAAGGAGATCCTATTTGTGTTAATGATTTTATATTGAATTATGCAGTGTATAGTGGGTAATTATCTTTGAAGATTAATATAACTGGTGAACATTGTATGGTGTTAAACTTCTTTATGGTTTATGATCCACCTGTTTCAGTTAAATTGATTTTGGTTTGGAGGAATCTGGAATTATTGCTGATTTTTATCACTGGCCGATTGGAAGTCTACTTTATGGTGACCTTGACCTACTTTATGGCTTTCGTACTATGTAGATGTTAATGTCGACAAACATTCTAAATAATATCTGTTGAAAGTTGTTTCCAGTTATTTTTCCCAATGTGTGAGGATAAGCATATGGATGGCTAAATGTGTTACTGTTTTAATATACTACTGCAGAATTAGTGTTTTATTTTCTTAAAGAAGAGATAAAGAAAAAAACTACATTTGCAAAAAGAACTTCAACTTTTGCAGTAGTTTTACCCATTTTACTCGGTTTGTAATCTGTCCTTATGCCTCTATCAGTGTGCTGCTTGTCTTCCGAGTTTATTGGTTTTATTTAGACCAACTTGATCTAAAATTGCAAATACATGACACTGTGACTGGCTTGGAGCTGCTGGCTTTTTGCTTTTTTACATTGCCCTCTATAGTAAACAAAAGATAAGACAGTGCTTTCTATGAAATTAGTGTAGAAGGGTGTGAATTTGGATATATGTGTAAAAAGTACTATAGCATTTCTGGTCACTTTCATTTTTTTTCCCTTCTCATGTTTCTGCAGCTGGAGAATAACCAGATGGATGATAAAGGTTATGCTGAGGTGATAGTTGGTGCAGACGAGGTTGCTGTTGCGGCTAGCCCAAGTGGAACAGCCCATGCTTTAGTAAATGTCGATCCCGTTCTTAGTACATTCTTTATAGGGTGCCAAGATGGCGTGATAAACAATAATAATTCAACTTCTGATTATAATGTTTGGAAAGATCTCTAATTGTTACTTTATTTCTCGCATATGTGAGCTAGTTTTTTCAGTATTTAACTATAATACTAGGGTCTTGCGAGATTAAGATGGTATAATGAGGTTAGTACCTACAGCATATTTGTACATAAACTAGAATTGCCATTTTTATGGCTTTTAATTTACAGGAACCATTCTTTTACTTTGAGAGCCGCCAAGTAACTATCTCTTGTGCTTCCTACGTGTGTATGACTTGATCCATTTGATGGTGAATCTTTATCTGTTTCATGTGTGCATGTTTTATTAACTGCACCATTTTTATTTATTTATTTATTTGAGAAGTTGATTTGGGATTGAATAATTAGGTGTATAACAAAAGGGTGTAGTGGATTGTTGAAGATACAAAAGATTTAGAATTTCAGAATTTGGTATCTTCGAATGGTGGCTTGCGAGGATAAATGTCACAATGGTATATGCTTGTGGTTGTGGGTAATATTTTGCGTGTAATTCACAAACAAACGGCATTAGGGGATTGGCAATGTCAACAGTTTAGTAATATAACGGGCCTGTGATAGCCTTTGGACTTGGGTTAATCGTAAACTTGACCGACATCCATACCAAAATATGCTTCCTGCAGAAGTTATTCTATGGGAAGCGCATTTCTGTCTTCTTGAATTAGGAAACAGAAAACAGTACGAAACACATTACTAAATTATCCAATTTTGAATTCAAATATGGAAGATTAATAGGTAGTCTGAGAATATTGAGAACCACACTCAAAAGAGTCGATCAAGTTCGTTCTTATTTATCAGTTTCTAAATCTTGAATCTGTTCTGGAATAATCGTGGCCACTGATTTATACAGAATCAGTGACAGGGACAGTTTCCCCAAATTAGTAGTAGAAATTTTTTTACTATTGTGCTTTTAAGTTTTAGAGATTAGAGATTAGTATAAGTAAATCATCTTTCTTAACAATATGTCATTAATTGTTTCAGTTCATATTATTAATTTATCAATAATATTAAATGTACAAACCTGATGTAGCTTAAAATGAATGAATAAATGAATATAAAAAGTAAACTCATCATATTCACTCTTTAATTTATTTTGTGTCATATCAGTTTGTACACAAATCTTTGTAAGACTTGTTTGTACATGTAGCATTATTCTTAATTTATTTGTCAAAAAAATGTGTTAGCATTTCTTTTTACCTAATGCTTTTCCGCGTCAGATGGTATTCATCGTTTAATTAATTTGCTAACTTCTAAATTGTGAATTTATGCATTATTGTATTGCTTCCCTTGTGTACAATACAAGCACATTTCCGTTCGTAGCAAATTTCCTTCCATCCCTTCCGACACTTGAAAGCAAATTAACGTAATCCTCCTCGAGTTTACTTGAACCAACTTCCAAGTGATCAGAATAAACTAATTTTACACACTATAAAACCACTCCAAATCACAACAAAAGAGTCATCACTCCCTAATCACAATACAGAGTCACTTTCTATTCAGTAATATTGCAAAATGGAGAAGGGAAACAAGAAACTTGCTCTTTTAGTTGGATGCAATTACCCCAACACCAGAAATGAGCTGCATGGATGCATAAATGATGTGTTAGAAATGAGAGAAGTTCTTGTGAATCGATTCAGGTTCGATCCCAACCAGATTGAGCTCCTCACCGATGCACCGGGGTCGTCGGTGATGCCTACAGGTGCAAACATTAAAGGTGCACTTGATAAAATGGTGAGCAAGGCTGAAGATGGAGATGTCTTGTTCTTCCATTATAGTGGACATGGCACAAGGATTCCTTCTCGGCAACCCGGTCGACCCTTTAGGCAGGATGAAGCCATTGTCCCTTGTGACTTCAATCTCATCACTGGTACGTATTGTAAATGAGATTTTTTTTTTCCTTTTTCCCGAGTGTGGTGTTTGTTATTATATATCAATTTAATAATGGATTTCTGACTCCATAACTCAGATGTGGACTTCCGGCAAATTGTTAACCGTCTGCCAAAGGGTACGAGCTTCACAATCCTTTCAGATTCATGCCACAGCGGTGGGCTTATTGACAAGGAAAAAGAACAAATTGGACCTTCTTCAATCATTCAGGAGAGTCAAAAACTTTGTTCCTCCAAACCAAAGACCATCCCTTTCCAATCCATACTTGAACATCTCTCATCGCTAACGTCAATAAACACATCTGATATTGGCACTCACTTGCTGGAATACTTCGGAGCTGATGCGAGCATTCGGTTTAGGTTAGCGCCTCATCAAGAATCCGAGTTGTTTGAATTTTTGAAGCCTGATGAAGGGATTCTGCTAAGTGGGTGTCAATCTAATGAAACTTCTGCAGACATGAGCCCCATAGAGGGTGGTGGAAAGGCTTATGGAGCGTTTAGCAATGCTGTTCAGATAGTTTTGAAGGAGCATTCTGATCCTTTGAGCAATAGAGAGGTTGTGATGATGGCCAGGAAGATTTTACAAGAACAGCACGTTGAGCAACATCCTTGTTTGTATTGCAGTGATGAGAATGCTGATGCTTGTTTCTTGTTGCAGCCTGAAACTGAAAGTTAGGTCTGCTTGTGTGTTTATGAGATGTTCTCAAGTGGTGTGTTTTCTTCTCTAAGAAATCTCCGAATAGAATAAATGAAGTTGCTCTCTTATTTACTTTAATAATAAAAATAATTGTTGTGATGTTCAGTTCAATGGCGCAGTTTGTTTCCTTTTCAGTGTTAACTTCCATTCCCAATGTGTTAAAATCTTCCAATTCTAGGATGGGATAATATTAGTAGTTTTGGAGCAAGCCATGAATAAGAAGACCTGTTCTCTAGCTCGTCTGATTTTGTTAGAAAATCGAAATTGGGTGGAAGCAATATCACCCAACAAAATAAAATTGAGACACAAACAATTTACATAGAAAACTCTCAAACAAATTGAAAGAAAAACCGCGAGTAAGTGAAGAAGGATTTTCACTATAGAATAAAAATTGAGACAAAATCAATTTACATGGAAAACTCTTAAACAAATTGAAAGAAAAACCACATGTAGGTGAAGAAGGATTTTGTTAATCGTTGAAGCCCACAACGACGCTGTCTAAAGGAAAAATAAAGCACTGCCGTTTTGGACCCCTCTCTTTAAATCCTAATCATCAATTCAAAAGGCATCTAACAGCTGCAAATCACCTTGAAGTCAACACTATAAAAGTGCGCAAAAAGTTCATGTTCAATATTGCAATATTTCTCTTCTCTTCGTCTTTAATCTTTCACTCAACTAGGGTTCTCGGTAGTACTCAAAATGTGTAATCTTTGTACAATCAGTGAGATTGTTGATTGAGGATTGTGATTCCTTCAAGGATTAGAGGAGCTGGGTTATCTTTCTCTAAGATCAAAGATTATTGTAAAGGGTTGAGTGATTAATTAGCTAGTGACTAAGCAATTCTTGATGAATGATTGTTGTACTCTATAAACACATTTGATAACTCTAGTGCAGTGGGCCTTAGTGTTCTGAAGCTCAATATGGACGTAACTTATTCAATCTTGAACAAGTGAACCACGGTAAATTGGTGTCTTTGTGTTCTTGATTGATCTGTGTGATTTGGTAGATTTAGGTGTGTGTTTAGACTCTAAGTATAACAGTGGTATCAAAGCTTGAATCTATTCCAAAGATCATTCGTGATTTAGTGACTTCGTGAGTTTTAGGGTTTGTCAAAATTTTGAGGGTTTTTTTTTTTTACAGTTTCTAGAGTTCTAGGGTCTCTAAATCGTTGAGTCTGTAACTAAATCTTGGAAATCAAAGATCAATTTCAATCTCTAAAGGTCAAGTCAAAAATCAATCTTGATTTCTTAAGTTTGCTACTGAACTCAACACCATGAGTACGACGTGAATGGAGATCTCCCAATATGATGGGAAGATAGACTTCAACAGTTGGAAAAAGAAGATGAACGCCCTCTTGTCAAACAACAAAGTGGGCATTACATTGGAGAAGAATGCTAGCAAATGGTCAGAGGAAAAACTAAAGAAGAAATCAGAAGTAGATGAGAAAGCTTACAATCTCATCATCATGAATCTGTTTGACAATGTGCTACGAAAGGTAGATGGCCTGGAAACTCCAATCGCACTCTAAGGTAAACTTAAAACCTTATATGCCCTGCAATCTACTCCTAATCTTGCTTTTTTAAAAGGTGCATTGTTTTCATATAAAATGGACCTCACTAAGTCACTAGATGAAAACTTAGATGAGTTTCTAAAGATGTCACTGATACTAAAATGGACTGACCAGGAACTAGGAGACTATAGCTTAGCCATGATCTTGTTAAATTCATTGCTTGAGGATTACCTAGTAGCAAAGAATGTCTTACAGTACAGTGGGATAGCCCCTAGTGTTGACTTGATAGTGGTTGGAATGAAATCCAGGGAGCTTGAACTAAAGATCCAAAAACTTAATGGAAACAATTTGTTTGTTAAGGGCATGACACATTCAAGTCAGTTTAGTAAGGAGGGTGGAAAAGGTTCTCAATAAAAGAAGGGAAAGGGAAATGGCAGACCTAAGCGAGAAACTAGGAAGTGCTTCCATTGTAACAAACCTGGTCACCTAAAAAAGAACTGCTATGAGCAAGTAAAGAAACAGAAACAGGCTAGCATTGAGAGTAACCTAGCTTGCACTAGTAATAATATTGAAATTTCTGAAGCCCTTACAATCTCTAACTCTGCTAGTTTCAAGAAATGGGTGTTAGATTCAGGATGTTCTTTCCACATGAGCCTTAACAAAGATTGGTTTCAAAATCTTAAAATTGATGAACAAGAAATTGTATTCATAGGCAATAACCACGCTTGTAGGGTTCAAGGCATAGGTAATATCACTATAAGACTTGATAATGGCAAGGTAATATTGCTAACTAAAGTAAGATATATATCGGAACTTAAAAGAAACCTGATTTCTCTAGGAACTCTTGATAAAGCTAGCTGTAGTTACAATGCACAAAAATGGATGCATAGTAGTATATAAGAATGGTAAATTACTGCTTAAAGGGATTAAAAAATATTTTTTATAAATATTGTGTGGGCAATAGTATTCTGATGTTTTTAATCTGCTCTTTTATCTACTAACATGTTTGTTGTAGAGAAATGGCACTTGAGAATGGGCCATATGGGCCAAAAAGGTATGGTTGTACTTAAATAGCAGGGGTATTGTGGAAATGAGTCTATTTTTTACCTAATCTTTTGTGAAACCTGTGTCCTGGGCAAACAACACAGAATGAATTTCCCAAAAAGGACTCACCTAGCTGCAAATTGCTTGGATTATATGCATGCTGACCTATGGGGACCCAAAAAAGTCAAATCACATGGTGGGAACAATTACTTCCTATCTATTATGGATGACTATAGTAGGAAGGTATGGGTGTACCTTCTCAAAACTAAGGGTGAGGCCTTAACCAAATTTAAAGATTTGGAAAACCCTGGTAGAAAACCAAGTAGATAGGAGGGTTAAGGCCCTTAGGACAGATAATGGGTTCGAGTTTTGTAACTTTGAATTTGACTCTTACTATAGTAGTCAAGGGATTTTAAGGCATATGATTGTTAAGGGAACCCCTCAACAAAATAAAGTTGCTGAGAGGATGAATAAGGCATTTCTAGACAATGTGAGATGTATTTTATTCACTACTAGCCTACCTAAAACTTTTTTAGGGAAAGCCCTAACAACAGTAGCCTACTTGGTCTAGCTCAATAGAATTTGACTGCCCTGAAAAGAGATGGTCTAGGAGAAGACCAACTCTGAGCCACTTGCGGTCTTTGGGTGTGCTGCATATGCTCACACTAGTGGTGGGAAACTGGAACCTAGATCCCTTAGGTGTGTATTTCTAGGATACCAAGAAGGGACAAAAGGGTATAGACTTTGGGAAAAAGATGTTCAAGGGGTTAGAATTATAATTAGCAAAGATGTGATTTTTAATGAGAATGAGTTCCCTTGCAGGATTACTAACATAAATGCAAGTATCTCTAGCAATAATTCCCTGAATTTTGATCTAGTTGAGACCACTCAGATTGAGGTGGAGCCAGCAAGCCATACTAAGCTGGTTGTCCCAACCGAGGACATAGAACCAATAGTTGAACTACTGCCTCCTGACCAGGACCAAAATAATGAAAGAGAGGTGATAGAAAATAGGGAGGAGGCCCAACATGGAAACCTAGACCAAGACAAGCTAGCAAGGGATAGAGTTAGGAGGAAGATTAGACCTCCAACCAGATTCAGCTATGTAGACTGGATCTACATAACATTAGATGCTAGTGTAGACATTCAGAGGTCTAAGCCTGACTCTTATGAAGAGGCAATAAACTCCAAGGATAGCAAGAAGTGGCATGTTGCCATGAAGGAAGAAATAGAGTCCCTAAAGCTAAACAAGACCTGGTCCCTGGTCCTAAAGCCAAAAGACCAGAAGCTAGTGGAGTGCAAATGGCTCTTTAAGCTAAATGAAGGCATCAGCATGTCAAATCCTCCAAGATACAAAGCCAAGCTCGTGGCAAAGGGCTTCACACAAAGGGCGGGTATTGATTTTAATGAAATCTTCTCACTTATAGTTAAATTCAAAACCATTAGGATAATGTTGTCAATTGTAGCTTACCATGACTTAGAATTAGAGCAATTAGATGTCAAGACTGCCTTTTTGCATGGTGAGTTGGAAGAATAAATTTTTATAAGTTAGCCTACTGGTTTTAAGGATAAAAGTTTACCTGAACATGTGTGTTTATTGCATAAGTCTTTTTATGGACTTAAACAATCCCCTAGGCAATGGTATAAACATTTTGATTTATTCATAGTAGGAGTTGGTTTCACTAGGAGCAAATATGACAATTGTTTCTATTTTGCTTGCATTAATAACATGCCTATATACTTGCTGTTATATGTGGATGATATGTTATTAATAAGTAAATCTAAGGCTCGTATACATGACTTAAAAGCAAAATTAAATATTGAATTTGAAATGAAGGATTTAGGCTGTGCAAAGAAAATATTAGGGATGGTGATTGATAGAAATAGAAGGCTTAATAAGTTGAAACTTCACCAATTGCCTTATTTAAAGAAACTGTCCTCCAGATTTGGGATGGCTGGTTCTAAATTAGTCATAATGCCCTTAGCAAGTCACTCTATTCTTAGCAGGCTGCAGTGTCCCAAAACTGAAATTGAAGTGTTTAAAATGGAAAACATCATTTACTCTAATGCCATAGGATCAGTGATGTATGCCATGATTAGCACTAGGCTTGATTTTTCATTTGCCATATCACTGCTAAGTATATTTATGTCCAATTCTAGAATGGAACATTGGATTGCTTTAAAATGGATGCTAAGGTACATTAACAACACTGTACATGTTGGTTTAGACTTTTGTAAAAGAAACACCTCACTTGATCAGGTTGGGTATGTAGATTCTGACTTTGCAAGTGATAGAGACACAAGAAAGTCTACAATAGCCTACTGTTTCACTCTTGGGGTAACTATGTAAGCTGGAAGTCACAATTACAACCCTTAGTTGCACTGTCCACAATAGAGGCTAAATACATGGCCATGACTGAAGCATTCAAGGAATCTTGAAAAAAGCCAACCTACTAGATGGACTTGTGACTATATACTCAAACAATCAAAGTGTCATCCATCTAAGCAAAAACCCCGTATACCATGAGAGAACCAAGCACG